GGGGGTAACACTCTTCCAATCTATCGTGACAACAGCCTGCTTTTCGGGCGGTGAGAGGCAAAGGCTCAATAGATGAACCAGCAGACTCTTTGACTGGATTAGCCAGCGAGGCGAGGAGTTAAGCTGGTGACGTCGCCTTAGCACCGGTTGCGCAATGTTCTCTAGGCCCGCGTTTTCAAGGCAGTTAGCAAGATGCCGCCCATTTTCTAGTAGCAGCAAGCTACATGCTGACTTTACACACGCAGTAGGTACTACTATAACACTCTCTGGGCACAATCCCGTCTTAAGTTGTGCTTGATCCTATAGTGTGGTAACCTCTGAACATGTTTTAATGATGTGGAGAATAGGTAATTGGAGCTGGAGTTGTTGGACTGGCCGTGGCTCGTCAATTAGCAGCTCGAGAAGGAACATCGACTATTCTAGTTGAGAGACACTCAGCAGTTGGAACAGAGACAAGCAGCCGAAACTCTGAAGTCAGTGGTAGAGTCTTCATCAACTTTCTTTTTGGGAAGGCAAATAAAGCTAACAGACGCCCTATAGGTAATTCACGCTGGTCTATACTATGGCGTAGACTCATTAAAAACAAAACTATGCATTGAAGGGAAAAATTTGCTTTACGAACTTTGCGAGAAGCAAAACATCCCGCACCGCAACACTAAGAAGTGGATTGTTGCCCAGGACGAGGAACAATGGAAAGAATGTTTGAAGGTTTTCCTCCATGCTAAGGAAATAGATGTACCGATACGTTTTGTTTCCGCCGAAGAGGCAAAAAGGAGAGAGCCAGATGTACGAGCAGAGGCGGGGATCCTAGAAAGTCCCACGACTGGAATAGTGGACGCTCACTCCCTAATGTCCTACCTACACGGCAACTATGAGGAAAGAGGCGGAGACTGCGTGCTGTTGACGGAGGTTTATAAAATTGAGCCTCTAAAAAATAGAGGTGGTTATGAAGTTTTCACGCGGTCCGGAGAGAGAAAAGACGAAGAGTCGTCTTTTACAGCTGAAACACTGATTAACTGTGCTGGTCACTTTGCGTGCGGAATAAACAACATGATTTTACCACCGGAAAGACATCGAACTCCTCACTTTGCTAAAGGGACGTATTTCTCATACGCAGCTTCATCACCAAAGCCTTCAACCCTCCTATACCCAGCGCCTCGACCCAGTTATGGCGGATTGGGCACACATCTGACTCTTGACATGGCCGGCCGAATAAAATTTGGCCCTGATGTCGAATGGGTAGACAGTCCAGATGATTTGATCCCGAGCCCAAAACGTTTAACACAGGCTATCAAGGAGATCCAGGCATACTTACCCAGCGTGAATCCCGATGCGATTGGTCTTGATTACTGCGGTATTAGACCGAAGCTAATTAGGGGAGGGTCCGTCTCCTCTGGGAAAGATTTCCAAGACTTTGTGATTCAGGAAGAAAAAGGTTTCCCAGGCTTCATAAACTTACTCGGGATTGAGAGCCCCGGGTTGACTAGCTCCTTGGCTATTGCAAAAATGGTAGAGAATCTTTTATATAGACAGTTATTTTCTTGGGTTGTTTAACCACATAAAGAATGTTTTCTGGGTCAAGCTTCAATGCAACTGCTTTTTCAACAGTTCGATCCAGGTCAATTAATACAAGCTTCGAATAAGCTCAAACACTGTTAAGTGGCTTAGTACCTATTAGGCTGTAGTGATCAAGGATACTCACTTACATGCTGGCAGATTTGGATCTTTTTTATCCCCTTTCAATGCACGCAACGCAATTGTGTCAGCCTCACTGGGCTTGACGGAAAACTACAATTCAATGAAACATGAAATTAGCAATCAAATGAAGATCTATTTTAGAGAATTATGGGGATATTTTCTTACTTCGGTCAATGTAGATTTCAATTCCAAGCTCTCCACCAACTTGGCGATAGCATCTCCCACAGCATTAGCATCCTTTGCATCATCACCTGAACAAGCCTGGCCAATATATGGCAATATTTTTGCAATTTGATGAGCTTCCTCCGGATTCCTAGTGGCTTTGAAGTGTATAGTTTTAGCCAGGGATATACAAGAGGTGATACCGTGGGGAATTGCATATGTAGCCCCAATAACATGACCAATTGCATGGCTTAGCCCTAAGGGGGCAGTAAAGTAGAAGGGAGGAAAGGCAGAATACGCGGCTATTTGTAATTCCTGGCGGATCTTTGGGTCTTCGGGATCCCTCTTGCACAACGGGAGGAGCCTGAATATCTCTCTTATCGCCGTTCGACACAGTCGTTTTGTAGGCACTTCGGCTGCCTGAGGGTGATACTGTAACTCAACTGCATGATCAATTGCACGGACCTGGATATATTCTTTAGCGTATTGTGAGTTAGAGAGTTGTTGGCCAATTCTGAGGTTTCTTACAGCGGAGCTTAGCCATAGACGTGCTGGGGTATGTAGAGTGATTTCGGCATCGTAGATGATTGCTGCAAACATTAGCAGACATATAAGTTAGCTAGTTAGTTAACTAAGTAGTTATTAATATCAATATTCAACAGTTAATTACCTTTCGGTGCTAATTCAGGATGGAAGATCCCAACTTTTAGGCCTTCACGATTGGTATACCCTGCTCCGAATGTATTTTCAGCCACACTCAGAGTCGTCGGTAGGGCAACTATAGGTATCCATTGTCCAGTGTGTTGATTTATATGGTATGCGACGGCCTTCGCAGCATCTATGGGTGACCCTCCCCCAACTGCTACTAGGACATTCGCCGCAGATTGCTTGATATGTTCTATTGCGGATTCTATATCCGCGACAGGCCTATTCTCTGCCAGTTAGCCTGACGACCTTGTATCCCACCCATGATTTAGCAGCGTACGCATGTTGACGGACTCCAGCATATGTACCCGCATGCGAGTCGGCCAGGAGACCCTCTAGCTCTTTAATAACGGGTGTTTTCTCATTCAACGATCTTCCCGTTATGACGAATGCTTTGGAGCCTCCTAGCTCAGAAACCACTTTTCGTAGCGAGCTGCGACTTCCTAAGCGTGTTATTAACATGTTAGCTAACAGTGTTATATCTTCGTCTCATAATGCCCTGTGGTCGAGTGTATATCACTTGCCTCGCCCATAGAGCATATACTTTGCAGGTAGCGTAATATATGCACCCTTTAGCTCGCTGTCAATGCCATGGAACGAAGACGTAAAATCCATTTTATGCAAATCCTTAGCCAGGCGCAATGTAATTGTTATAAACAGTTTACCCTATATTGTTAACGTGGGGATGTTTTCTTCGACACTGCGATCCATGTTATGGTGGGATGAAGGTGCCTTGTGCTAGTTATGACGACATCGATCCTTTTTAAACTTGAGGCGCAACATTTGAACATTGGAATAATTGTTTGAGCGTAGAACATAGAATGATCACAATCCAGCCTGCAGGATATACTATGTGCGCAGAGAGCAAATATAGATTTTCGGTATAATGATAATAGAGATGCATAGATATACTCCTAGGGCAGTCTATCTTTCTAAACAGTTCAAATGCGGGATGTTTGAACGCTCGTATCATTCTTGAATAAGCCACTTCATCTCTTGACAAGGCACAGCAAGCACCTGAGTTCAGCTCAACTCAAACCCCGAGTTAAATATACACACTGCAAGCCTCCGGGGCCGTTCTTCGAGGAAAGAAAAGGTATAAAGCAATTGGACGAGCACAGAGGAAAGGAAAGAGAAGACGAAGCGCAGAAGGCCTCCCTAGCACCGTAAGATATGAACTTTTTTTGAATTGGCATTTCCTTTCC